AGAGTGTTTACCAAAAAGTTTAATTTCAGAGATTCGCACTGTTTCGTTACACTTTTGATGAATAGAATGGTTGGTTATTAGGAAGTGTTGTCCTTGTGATACAGTAGCATAGAAGTATCATTTTTTCATCAGTGCTAACCTACAATTGAGTATTACATGCCAAGTGCCAGGATCAGTTGCCCAGGCATTGCGGCTTTATTTAAATGCAGTTATGTTTGCCAATTTGTATGTTAATGCTCTTGGTAGTAAATTCTTGCCCATGACCTAAGTGCCGGTTCTTAGGTTTGAGATATAAACTGACTACTTATATTACATCTGATTTGCATTTCAGATCCATGTCATAAAGCCAGTGTTACCAAAACTAAACAGTTTGTATGACCACGCTATATCAGGGGAAAAAGGTAAGATGTAACTTTTCTGAAACATCTCCTAAGTATTAGGCAGTTAAGTCACACTTTTTTCTTTACTGCTTCAGCTTTTTGTTATGTTTTGTTTCTCAGTTTAGCTGTTTTCTGTGTAGCTATTCCAGTTTCTGTGGGTCTGCAACAAGCATAGGTTGCTTGGCAAACATTTACAGGCTCTGCTCTGAAATGCAATAAGAAATCCTAGCATTTGCTTATTGGTTACTATGTTATGAAATATCTTTTTCTGTCAGCAAACCCAACTAAGTGGTCCTTTTTTACTATGTCTTGCTTTACTTAAGCTAGTGTGAAAATAAAACGAAGCCAGAGATTCTTGGGGTGAGTCAGACAAGCCAGGTTACCTGCACAACTCCCTTATTGGAAGTGGGGAGAGAAGAAGTAAAATGAGTCAGCTGAGACAGCATGGTGAAGGATGTAATGTCATGTTTTGTAGGGCAAAATGGAACACATCTGATTAGGTAGTGCAAGATGTTACAAGTTAAAGTTCAGAGATTTGTAAAGTGGGAGGACTGTTAATGTGTTGCAGGTGAATACAATGCTGAGTTGAGGAGAGTTGCAGGAAAAAAGGACGTGGTTTTTGCATTTTAGTCATTTTAATTTGTAACTACTAAAACTTAGAGGGTAAGTTTTGAAAGCCATGTTAATAAATGTGGAGGTTTTTGTATTTGAGATTTAGCAGGGTACTTTTATAAATCTTAATAGCTATAATCATAGTTTTGAAATGTCTTGTGAATTGACTATGATGTTGTCCAGAATGTCAGTATGTTGTGTGTTAGTATGCTAACGTGTCGCTGTCGTTTCTGTGTCAATTCAGAAGAATTTACTTTTGTAACAGGTTGTTGGTTGTTTCACCCATCATGGCACATGTGCATCTATAAACGAATGTTTGAGAGCGAGAATAAAACATTGACGAAGGAAGGCATTCTTCATTTTCTGGAGCTTTATGAAACGAGGCATCTTCCAAATTCACTTGGGTTTTTGGAGGTAAGGGTCTTACGTGCCACAACAGACAGATGTTCTAATTCATGATGTGTCTTAATGCTAATTGCCTCAGTAGTGTTGGAATTAGACATGTTCTGTAAAAATATGGTCTTATGTAGCTGTGTAAGTGATAGCAATATTTGTAAGTGGTGTCAAATAGATAATTACTTGAAAAATGGCCTGGCTGGAGGGAATGCATTTTTGAGTGCAGTCATTTGTTCTTATATTTCAAACTAGCACTCTCTGATTAAAGTTGGCTCCCAGTTAATTGAAATTTGTAACCAGAAGTGAAATTCTCAGAGGGGTGGTTGATGCTTCACATTTTGAGAGGCCCCTGAACCTTTCCAAATTCATTAATTAATATTAATTGATTAAACAGTGTCTTGGATAAACCTCATCAACAGACTTCAAGTCTGTGCATAGTGTCTCCTATTCAAGGAAGGATTTTGCAGATCCATTGCTAGATAACCCTTTGAGGAGGTGAATGTCTCTGTAGTATAATCGGTATGTTACTGTATCCCATTAAAAAACACACTTTAAAATATTCCATATGTGGGAGATACTGTAAGTTTAAAGTTCTTTTTTTTTTTTTTCAATTAGTATCGTTTGTAGATTGACTCCCCAACCAGCCTATGCCTTAGTAAGGAATGATCTATTTTATACCATTATTTCTTCCATCTCTCCTTCATAGAAGGAGCATTGCCCTCAGAGGTTAACATTTGTGTTTTATATGAGTTAAGTCAGCCTTTTGATGACTTAACTTGAAATCCAGTCAACCTTAAAACGCACCCTAAATCTTTCTACTTGTGTTGGCCCCAGTCTTTTATTTCATGTTTAAATATCTTTTCTCCATCCATTTCCTAGAAGGATTTCTTAATTGCCCACACCTTTCACAGTACTCTGTGAAATGCACCTAGTGAAAAAATTGCTTTGCTTGATTATTCTCCTGCTTCTCCTTGTCTTTAGTTTCTCTCTCTCTTTGCTCCTACTAGTTACTACTAGCAAGAGTGTTCTCTAATTTCTGACTCCGTCCTTTTAACGTCAAGTGAAGTAAGTCTAGTTGACCTCTGTAAAACTGCCTTACAAACGTACATTTAGCCATTGTTCTTGTTTCCTTTTATCAGTTTGTTATTGGACCGCTAATGGATGCCCTCTCAGAAAGTTCCCTCTATAGTAGGTAAGCTGCTGATTTTTATTTTTTTTAATAAATATATTGATTATTGGAAATGTATTCTGGTAGCACTGGTTTGAGTATGTGAGTAAGGTGTTGGATAAAGGAAAACACATTAATAAGCAAATTGTATTGCTAAACTCCCTGACAGGTAAAGAGTTTTTCAGGAAAGGTGGGTGGCTGTGAGTAAGATGAAGTAGGTTCAATTTTATCCTGGTAATATCAACATAGGGATGCCTCAAGGCCTTATTTTACACCTGGTATTGAAATACTAATTTGGAAATGAAGTGAGATACGATAAATTAATAACTTGAGAAGATAAAAAACTTTGCTATTCTTGCCGTACAGAAAGACGGGCTGCTCTAATTGTTGCCAGTTCGTAACTGATAGTGTTTTTTCAACCATGCCTGATTATCTTTTGGGAAATTAATACTTTTTCATGGGAAGACCTGTTTGAGGTTGACAGGTGACAGTGGCCTCCCTTGGTGTAAATACATAAAAAACAGGAAAAATTTTAGGCTTTACCAGTTGCTACATGTGCAGTGTACTGATGGCATTCAGTCCTTTGAACCAGTTGCCCCAAGAGTACTGAGAATGGGGAATAAAGCATTGTGCCAGATGCAATGGCTTGGGTGATTCAGCAAGCAATCTGAAACTCAGGCCAGAACGATGTTGGAGCGAGCCTTGGCTGGCTGACCTTGTTAGGCAGCTAGAAAAGTCGATGCTGTCTATTTATGCGCTTTTTTGGGGGACAAAAAATGTGACTGTCATGTATTAAACTGGTGATCAATTTGGATTGGGTGATTCTGGATAAAGTGTAGTCAGAATAGGTTGTTGCATCTAAACATGATGGGACAAGCGTGACCTCTTTGGGCTCTCACAGCAGTTACGTCTTTCTCATCTCAACTAGCTGGCTGCTGCATGCTTTCTGCAGGTGTACACTGATGGGAGGTCAGAAGTTCCAGCAAGTGCTGAGTGTTTCGGGGTGCATGTGTTGGATTGATGCTTCACAATCTTCTCTCTTAGCTTCTGTATTTCTGGTGAAGGTGTTTGGATATGTAGAGGAGGGTGCGTGTTTGAGTATACCAAGAATATACAGAGTAGTTGTGGTTAATGGCAGGCTGTATGAGAGACAACTGTAAAATCTCATGACTGTCTGATGCTAATTCTTGATAGCCAGGATCCTGAGACTCCTGATTGTCCAGGTTGCCTCTGTTGGTCTCAGGGAGTGTTTCTTGCATCTTTACTTAAAACCTGTGCTGGTCAGTAGTTTTGTTTATGCTGACTTTATAATCGTGCTTCCTAGCACACTTGAGTAGGTAATTTGTCTTCACAGTTCTCCACATCAGACCAGTCACATGCCTGCTGCATTACCACTGATCTTGTCCTGTGGGCTTCCGCAACCTGTTCCCGGAGCCCCATGTCATTCTGTGTTACTCAGGCCCGAGTAACTTGACTTGAGGCTCAGTGCCAGAGTGTGCAGCCACTATGTCCTTTTGTAGGTGGCCAGGGAGAGTCATGCTTTTGGAACTGTCCCCATCCTCTGTGTGTTTGCTGGTGCTGCTGGAGTATGGGGATAAGCGGAGGATGCAGGCTGATGCGCTCCAGCTCTGTGGCCTGTTGGCCCAGCCTCTGCAGCGATTTAACCACTGAACTGCACTTTGGTTTTGTTCAAGGGCAATCTTACTTGTAGCTGTTAAAAGGCCAGTTGTGTATTTGATGTTTTAAAACCCAACAGGACACCAGGTCAGTTAACGGGAGCCTGTCCTCCTTTGGCAATGAGGCTACAGAAGTTTTTGGCTACATATCTCACGCTTCTTCCACAGGAAGAAAAAGGTATGTTTCAATTTCACCATTATCTTTTTTTAAATAAAGAAACCAAATAAAAAAACCTGTGGACCTATTTTACATATGTCATGTAAACATTTACTGCTATTTTTCTGTATTACTTGGAGGAAAAAAAAAAAAAGGAGTAGTTCCCCTTGTGGCAGTGGAGTTTCCAGAGAAGAGAGAGGTCTTCAGAGGCTTTGAGGGATGCTGTAGTGTTAAGCTACAAAATTGTTTTAGGGGCAAACTGAAGCAGACTTACTTTTTTATTAAAAAAACCAAACTCCTGAGTTCTGAAGGTGAACAGTACTTGCAGATTCTTTTTCTTTGTCAGCATAGATAATACAGTGCTGAGCAAAATCTTTAGAACTAATTTTTTTCTAGTTTGCTTTTGGGGGGGTTCTCAGTTTTTTTTTGTTTGTGGTTTTTTTGTTTTGTTTTGTTTTTTAACCTTTAACCTATCTGCCAGACTTTTTTAGTCCCAACCTGTGTAGTTAGGCATTCAAAAGAGTCAGTCCAGGTGCTGAAGCAGAAGCTGAAAAAGGATTCTTTTACTGTGAGGTTGGATGGAGGAAGATTTCTGAGATTGTTTCAAATTTTTGTGTTACTGTAGGCTGAAAAGGAGGAACAACCTTTGACTTACCATAATTTAATATCTGGTCTAAGTGAATTAAATAGGGTAGAAAGAGCTCTTTTCAGTGCCCTGTATCTACGGGTACATATTCTGGTAGTAAGCACGTTACATGTTTGTAATGCTATAGATGCCCTGTTTCTCTACCCTGTCCCAAGGCATGTATTTTATCACAAAGTGAAGGGTCTGCGATTAGCAACCCTGAGACTAGGTGACCTGCTGCTACAAATTGTTGCTGTGGTGTCTTGTTGAGGCTTGCTCTGGCCATGCCAGCATCCCTTAAATTGCTTGAACCGCCATGTACTTGGTCTGCCATCACACAAACTGAGTCACAGCTTAAAAAAAGGCATTGTCTAGTGCTTGAAATAATCTGAATTAAAACTCCATTACTGAATATGGTGATTAGTGAGGATCACCAGAGCCAAAATTTGGTTTATTTCTGGTTATCTCCTTATCATATTATCTTACTGACAGACTTCTTTGGAATGTACTTATTGAAATAATGAAAAAAATTATCTGATGTCTTCCATTTAATTTTCACAAATGATCATAACACTCTCCTGCTGGGGTCTGTGTCATTTAAATGTATTTGAGAACAAGAAGTCACTCTGGATTGTTTTGTTTACTTTTATTTTAAGGTAGTTTCCTGTTAAAGTTTATTCAGAAGATGACAAGTAGGCATTGGTGTGCTGTTCCCATTTTTTTTCTTTCTATGGCTCTGGCATATATCCCTGCATGTAAAGTACTGGGCGCTGAAGGACTTCATGCTCTAAGGTAAAATGTACGCTGTGTTGTGTTCTTACAGACTTCTTGTAAAGGAGGGTGCTGAACATCTGGAGAGCCAGGATATAATTCATGTTTGTTAATTCTAGGAGGATGTGATGCTTGTGTATGGGAATGGAAGGTCCTCTCTCCTTTATGTCTAATTCACAGAGGAAAGCAATTTAAGAACCAATGTATTTATATCTCTGTGTGACTTAAAAAATGGATGTTTTTCATTTCAGTCCTTTGTCATTGCTTCTTTTTTGGCACCATTTTTCCTTGGTCTTCCATACTTCCTGATTGATATATATTGAACTTCCTTTTCTTTTAATTACATTAAAACCTTGTTTAATGGCAGTTGAGGCTGTATCAGGGGACAGCCCACAACTGAAAACTGAAAGAGCTGTAAATGAAAGGCTAGGTAAAAGTTCTTGGCATGTATGTTGTCCTTAATCACACTGATGTTTCCTGAGTATCTTTTACTTCCTAGAGCCACTAAAAATCAGTAATTATTCCAGTTTAATCAAATTTGAGCTTTGAAATAAAATCTTACTGGTGGTTGAAGGAAAACTGGAAAAAAGTAATTAACAAAATGCAAAAAAAAAAGTCAGACACACCTCTGCTGATAAAAGAGCATTTAAGGTTTCTTTCAGTTTTGTGTAAGGGTGGCAATTTGATGGCAAATATTCTCTTTCTATATTTGTTACCAATAGAAATGCAAATTTTAAATTATCAGTTTGAACGGATGTGATCATGGGGATTATTTCTTTAGTTTTGATTTTGTTGTGCTCCCCACCTCCCCATGCGTTTTATTTTGTCAGGTGTATGCTTATCCAAGTTTTAATATCAGTTTTTGAAAGGCCATATAGGAGTAGTCTTGGTTCTGAATTGTATGCTGTCTGATCAGGCAGTGATTGTGTTACACGTGTTTGTTAAATAAAATTGTAATATATTGGAAATGGTTGTTAATTAGAAAATACATGAAAACGTTTAAACTTCCTAAGTGTATGTTTTTTACAGTGCATATTTTTCCTCTTTCCAGAGATGTCCTTCAGTGTACTATGATTACACATCAGATTTTGTTGCGTGGAGCTGCTCAGTGCTATCTTCTTCAAACAGCTATGCATTTGACGGACGTGGTGAGTTTAATTTTGAGGGTTTTTTTTTCTTCCTGGTGTAATAAAAATACGCTAGCACTTTTACAGGGTAAACAGGATTCAAAAAACCTGCTAAATACAACATGGAACCACTGATTTTGCTGGATTTGCCATTTTTTTAGTGATTACTTAAAAAAATCGTACTACCTTAAGTATGGGTATGCTTCTGTTAACTTTGATTCTCATAAGATATATTTTTTCATTACCTTTTATTAGTTGATGTCATCTCGTAGGGTTTTCATGCGGTAGTTATGGAATAGTATCCTATTATGATACCCACTGTATAAACTCGGGTTTTAACAGATAGAAACTAAATGGACTCTTCTGAAATACCTAAAAGAATAGAAATATTCATAATAACAGAATGCTCAAACTACTATTCATGTTGAAATAGCAAGACCTTAATTATTCGGTAGTCAAAGTATTCGTGTTTTGGTTGTCTTATAACGTGCTTGCTTTCTAGATAAGTAGACTGTCTTCCGGTTGTGTGTTATGGCTATAAACTTTTCTGAGCAGAATTTCCTTTTTGAAATTCAGAACTAGTACTCATCAGTGACTCTTACTCATATATGTACATTCATATAAAAGGGATCATCAGTGAATAGCACTACTGTAGTCATTAATTAACTTTCAGATAGATTTTAGTACTTGGGAAGAGTGAATTGTGTTCCTTGGTAAAGATAAGTTAGTCCCAAAGATGCAAACATGAGTCTGTGTAATGGAAAGGAAAAAGTCAGTTTCTTTTTCTGAAATGTTTGCCAGATGACAGCAAACTTCTCGATTTGTTATATAGATGTTATCTGTTGTATATTATGTTGGCAATATTGTATCTTGATTAATTTCTTCAGGAGAAAGTGTCCCTCCCAGAAGTTGCAAGCTTTCTTCTGTCCCTTAGACCAGAGGAGTCTCTAAGGAGAGATACTGTGTTATGGATAGAGGTGAGAACTGAAGCTGGTTTTATGTTCATCAAATGTTTTTTAATACCTATACAGACACATGATTTATTATTACTAATTTAACATCTAAATAGTTAGCTACTTGTGCATTGGTGCATTCTGGAATTTCTGGATGTGGAATCTTCACGGATTTACGTTTCACTCGAAAGCTGTGATTATTTTTTTGTAACGCTATAGAGGTGTTGATGCTAACCCTAAACAAATTATTCAGCAGATTCAAAGTGGAAGAATTTTAACGTGGTTCAATGTAAGGTAGGGTGGGTGGGGAGAAAAATACGACCTTTTCTTCATGCAGAAATTCTCAATTCTGCAGAAGAAAAAGCTCTTTCTTGAGGCAGAGATGTTTTTGACTTCAGAGCAAGCTCTGAAGTCCCAGTTAATTGTGTTTCCTAGAGTTCATCTTGCTATTGCAGCTGTTGGGTGCAGCTGTATTGAAGTGCAAATCAGAATCAGGTCTTACTCAGACTTTTGGTCCCTGAATACTGGTCCTTTAAGAGACTTCTGTGTGTTCATCACAGTTCTAGTCTTCCGCATCCTTTGCCAAGATTGTAGGAACTAAAGCTGCTGTTGGTAAGCCTGTACTAGTATCTGTAATCTCTCCCATTGGGGATCCCTGCTCACTTCTCTACACGTTTGGTAACTTCATGGAGAGAGTGCAAAGCAGGGTATCTTCCAAAATCCACAAAGCCATGACTTTGGCTTCTCTCTCAACTTTTATTAAGGAAACCTAGTGGATGTAACATCCTTAGCTGAAGCTGTTCTTGCTCGTCAGATTCTACAGACAGTTGATTCTGCATATCATATATGTTCTCTTTCTGGCTATTTCCTTTTCATTCCCCTCAACTTGCTGTTGTAAAATTTCATTTGATGGAAAAGAACACTATTTTGTAAGCTTGTTCTATCTTTTGAGAGAGAATCTGCTAGCATGGTGCATTTTCTCCCTTTCTCTTAGTCCTGAAATTACTCTCCGAGATAATGTGGATCCTGAGACTCTGAATGGGCCAGTATATGGGCCAAAACTTTGTATAAGAGCTGCCTCTGATTCGTGTGTTGTTTGGTTGACCCCAGCACTGGCAGTAATAACAGGGTAGTCTCAAAGGGAAAAGTGTGCCTACCATGTAGAATGAGATTGTAAATTCTAGATTTCCAGGGGATATATGCTTTGTGTCTTTGCAAGATGCAAAATGCTATGAAAAAACCTCAAAGAAGAAATCATTTTATATATAGGATATACTGGAACCAGCTGAATATGTAGCCATAACTTCAATTAGTTGTACAGCAATATAATGATAAGTAATTTTTTTGCATAGTGGCCCCTTGTTCTGTGTGCTGTACATTTCATCCTATTCTGTTGATTATTGGCATAAAAGTAAAAAAAAAAAAAAAAAAAAAAAAAAAAAAAACAAACCAAACCAGCAGCTCTTGCTAGATAACAGTTGGCTGTAGGAAGCCCTTTTGACCTGAAGGAAATCTTACCAGTCTTACTTATTTTTAAGAGCTGGTTTTTTTTCTTATATTGGTACCAATAATCTTTTTTGGAACTGTTCTCTGGAAGAACCTTTTGCTATATTAATTAGAGGGGAATAGTCTATTAAGCCTCAAGGTAGCTCCAGTTAATACTTCTCAGTGTGGATTTAACAGCGCTTTAGTGAACTGTTGGTAATGTCAGTAAAGAACTGGCAGTTATGCTTAAATAGTAACATACTGATTTTAATTTAGCTTTGCAGTTGGTTAAGAGTGAATGATGGATGCTTCAGAAAATCGATGACCCATGATTTTGAACATCAAGAGACATCATCTTTATGTCAATATGTACGCAGTCTTGTGGGAGAGTATCTTAAGACACCAGCATCTGAAAGTAAGTTAAATGTTTATTAATATAAAAAGCTTTTTGAAGATAATTTAAGGATAAAATTACAAAAATCCTTTGGATTTTAGAAGAGCTGTTTGCCTATTCAAATTCTACCTAATTTGTGATACTCAATGATTCTTAAGTTTGAACTTTATTTTCTATTCCAGTTTCCCTTCATAAAATGCAGTCCTGCAGTACTAATTGAAATTAAGCCTTAATACTCAATTTATAATGCTGCACTGATGTTTGTCCATTAGATTTCTTTTGTTACTTTTTTTAACAGTGCCTGAAAATATTGGAGTATGGGGGAAGAAGAAAGCACAAGGGAGTGTAAATAGATAGAGGTTCTGTAGTCTTTCTCAGCAGAGGTTTGTAAACTGACCGAGTATATTTAGGGAGAGAGATGCTATATAGTTATGGAGCACCCTCCTGCTTACTGATGTTGTTTTGATCTTGGACTACTTGCAGCAGATGAGCTGCCACACGTTATAACCAAAGAAGGTTCTTTGTATGCTGTATGTAGATAAATTCTGAAGGGACTTCTTTGTTCACTGCCACATTTTAAATTCTTACAACTTCAGTGCAGAATTTTCTTTTAGATATATGGGAAGGAATGGCGAATTGACTTTTTGAATACTTTAACTTTTGTGTGGCACTCACTTATTTGCTACTTAAGTACCGCAGTAGCCGTGAATTTTATATAGTTTTATAATGTCAAAAGTCAAAACTGAACACTTTTAAACACATTATACCTATAGGAGCTATAGAAGCTAGATCAGAATTTGCTCATGATAAATAGCTTCAGAAGCTTCCTGCGGCCTGGGAAACTTCACTTGATTGTCTTATGGTTAGAAAAGTTGCGAGCAAATTTTGTCTATTGATGTTCCAAGGTAAATGCTTTACTAAAAATTTTGACAGATCTTCCCCTCTTCCTGAAATGTTTGTTTAGGCCTTGGTCTATGTTATCTGTAATTCCATGGCAAACATCTGTGTTTCACTTTAAAAAGTTGCGTTTGTAATTTTCTGGTTTGATTTGAATCTTAGCTTATAAGCAGCTCTGTGGAGGAGGCGGGGGGGGAATCAGCAATGTCCAGCTGCTTGAACTGGACCTCCAGAGTGTGTTTTGCTTTCTAGATTCCCAAAGCCAAACGTATACCAGTTAAAAAAACCCTGAAACCTGTGTATGTACTACTACTTAAGAAACAGTTTTTATAAGTATGATGATGTGATGCTGCATAGAAGATCAACGACAAGAGCAGCTGCAGTTAGTTTTTTTAAATTTTCTTTTGACAGAATAGTTTTAGTTCTTCATATATCTTCTAGGTGGTCAAAATCACAGCTGATGTTTTTGACAAAGCATAGTGGAATTATCTTCTTGGTTAACTTCATTTGAATATGCTAATATATTTTTAAAAGCAATAGAAAAGCCCATTGCGAGCTACGACATAATATATGCTACTACATAATATGACACGTTGCCTAAAATAGATTTCAGCATAGAGGCCAATGAGATTAGCCTGTTCGAGGTGTAGAGGAAAGCAGTTGGGTTTCAGTTTAGTTTTTATCTAGATAAAAGAGTGCAAAAAATTAGTAGTAATATTCTTGTTGGCATTAATTGTTGTTATATTACTAATTTACTTTAATAAGTTATAAACCCAGAAGTTTTAAAAATTAATATGAAGGTATTTTTTAAATACTGTGGAAACCTTAAAATATCTTTAATCAGGAGAAAATTGCTTTATGCCTGACTGGTTTGAAGCTAAGCTTGTCGCAACAGTGATTCTGTTGGCTGCAGACGTGGAGCAGATGAGGAATAAATACAGGTAAGTATGAAATACCTTATTTTGCAGTTTTCTCTTTTTCACTCCCCCTACTTCTGAAGGATCCAGCAGAAACCTGATCAGGTCGAGAGGTTGTCCATTTTTCTCCGTAGACTTCTGGTCATCCTGATCATTCCTTAGCCTTATCCAACTGTTGCTGCAAGCATACTGGGTAACATTTCTAAAGATACTTAAGTGACTTGGAAACATGTCCTATTTATTTCCCCTAAGTGACTTCAGCACTTAAGGCAGATACTCAGAAGAAGACTTTCTTTTTAATTTTTGTTTTTGTGTAGTGGAAAAAGCAACATAGAATGGATTGAACTAGAGGCTTTCTTGAACCCTCTTCTGGATGTCTTGATGAAACTTGGCAGTAATGCTTACATACCAACACTGAAAACAGATAAAAGCCTACAGCTTCTCTTGACGTTATTGCAGACCCGTTCGTTAAAATGTTCCAATATACAAGATGGTTAGTGATATCTTCAGTATATTGTGTCTTATATTAATTATAGTCTAACTAAAACTAAGGTACTTAATGTTTTAAGGCTGTATTGTCAAATTATTATTAGCCTAGAGGTGGTAAATGTAAAAGTTGACAATCTGGCATATCTGTTATGAAACTGAGCTGTGGGTGTCCCAGGGGCTGGGAATTGAGAATGTGGAAGCCCTCTGAGAAAGCAATTGTTACCCATTAGGATTAGATTAGCAGTTGGTTAAAATTTGGAGAGTGTGACCATATTACAAATATTTATAAGCCTCCTCTTTGCCACTGTACAGGTTCCATAAATCATTTAGATACTTCAAAAAGAAGGTAGTACAGAAACCAAGCCTGACCTGCTTAGTTGCCTAAGGTTCAGCAAGAGCCTTCTCTGAGCCTTCCCTGAGTGTACAAAGCGATCCTGCTAGACATACTGTTTTCTGAGTTGACTGGTAGATACTTTTGTCTTTAGTAAAGCTGTTTGGACTGCAAAAGACAGGATGCCTCTGATTATTTCACAGTATTAGGCATGATTTCAGTAGGCATGCTTAGCTGACTTGCTTCAGTTTGGCCTTAGTTAAAAAGCAAGGTGGTTAAGAGATGCCCACTTAAGCACAAGCCTGATGATCTGGCTGG